AAAGTCAATTTCCCCCACCATCCTATCGGGTATTGACGGCACACTTACCACGCAGGAATTACACGGGACTTGTCTCTCCACCGCCTTTCTGCTACGCTTACCTTACCACACCATTACCAGGCTCCCACCACCACTGTGCAGCTTCGCAAACTTACTCTATACAGTTTCACCCACCAGCGTGTACCTCCCTCCCGTGTACCGACCTCCCGTGTACCAACCACGTACTACTCTCTCGAAACGGGCATACTAACCTCTTGCCAGCACCGTGTGATTGCCCTTCCACCAGGATCGTTCTTCCGTTAGCATTAAATTTCAAACGAAGGGACAAATGTCAGTGTGCACTGTTCGTTGGATAACGCAAAAAGAACATCTAAACCAAAGCTTGCGTGCGCCAAAGCAGCGAAGAAATCAGGCCCACACTACTGTAGGTAACATTTAGGTTAACGGCTTGACCAGAACACAGTCAAGCGATGCAGTGTCATTCATGTTCAATAATACCACGGTTCGTCATCGGTTTCTCGTCACAGTATCGAACGAGGACTGCGGGCCAACAGGCGATGCACGCGACATGACTCTCTTTGTTCCACCGTATTCAGTGCTACTGGGTTCAGGACAATTTTATCGCGGGAAAACAAATATACTGTCAGGAAACCACGCTCTCCACGAAGCAGCGCGAAGAATCAAACGCGCCGCAGACAGACCAACATGGCGGGTGCATGCGGTTGCACGCTGCCGTCGTCGTAAAACATCAACACGTGGCCGTCTTTGGATCCAAGGCGCGCAGGCTGCGTCGAATCGACCGTTTCCACACTCTTCAATTTCGCGTAATACCTAAGGTGTCGGACGGGCCTGCGCTGTGATGTAGAGCAGATGTTTCAAAACAAATCTGATCAGCTTTTTCATTTGTGTGCCGCTAGCTTTTTGGCAAAACACGTAAACTGGCACTGCTAGCATCAGTATGACCTCCGCGAAGCTCACAGTCGTAGCTACAGCCGTTTTCCCGCAATAACCGGGAATTCGTCCCCCTCCTGCTTCACGTGCGAAGCCTCACTGCAGCCGTGATTGCCCTCCATTCGATGTAGCGTCTCCGCAGCTCATGCAATAGCTAAACGCACTTGAAAACACAGGCTGGCCCGTTCATAAATTGTCAAGTGGGCACTGTTCATGCGGAAGTAAATAGTTCTGGGAGAGACGCTTACTGTTACCTCAGCATCATTCTGTTCGACTTCAAGACCTTTCCCTCAGCTAGGTGTATGCTCTCAGCAGATCGCAAGCCAAAGTGTGATGCTGCCGGAGTATCTGCAAAACATGCAAAACAAGGGACGCTGCTGCAATGCCTCCGTCTTTCCTTTCTCTCTTCCCGCAAAGACGCGTTTTTTATTGATACAAGCAAGAAAGACCTTGAGCTGGTGGTACTTCGGCATCATGAGCCGGAGTCCTAATCCTGAACACACTCACCCTTATTTTACCAGGGACATACGTGTACCAAACAATCATTTCAGTGCATACAATTTTTCTTTGCAGCCTATGACATCGTTCATCCATTTTGAGTAAAACTTGACACACCAATATCAATGTTAGCCCTGGCCCAAACTTGGTCGCGGATGGACAACCCAGGGCCGTCAAGGGCCCAGCAAGGCGTACCGCGCCGGCTTCAGTTTGGCCTGTTATCTCTGGTGCGAGATGAGGATGGTTTGTTGTATTTGTAGCAAATATCACTCGATAGTGTACGATGTTGTTTCGCAGATTATTGCAGATGTAGAACCTCATCACGGGCGACTTAGAAATAAACACAATATTTACCTTGAGAGAATGGTTGAAAATGTGTTGTTTGTATCAAGTAAGAACTCCTCAAAAGTTGTATTCTGTTTCACCATTTTCCCTGTCCATTTCCCCATATCAGAGGCCCCCCCCCCCCCCCCCCCCAGAAGGCGCGGCGGGCGTATAGCAGCAGGCGCTCGCCAGAGACGCATCAGGGCGGTGCGAACTTCAAGTGGTATCTGTTGTGGTTGCCCTATGATATATTTATAACCTTCACGGTAATGGAAACTTGATTGCTTGTTTTGCAGTTATTATGAACTCTTCATATATATATATATATATATATATATATATATATATATAATATATATATATATATATACCCAATGGCATATCTTTCTGCCTAAAAAACATGTTGCATTTCATGACCTATTGCATGTTAGTACCCGTACTCATGGATAATGTTTGAACCGCAAAGTCTGTGCTCATATCCAATTTCTAAACATTGTGACTTGTTTCTTTCGACACGAACACGGCGGCAATTGAGGGGTTGGTGTACAAGGAAGACAACCGTCATATCGTAATTATTATTTGCAGCTGCATAGTCGTTCCTCTTAGTCATAATTGTTTCCATTGAATTGGTGGCCTCGGCCCGTCTGCGTGCGTCTCTATATTGGGAGCAACACTGCATACCATGCAAACATATATCTCAGGATTAACATTTAGTTTTGATAGATGCGGCCTCGCCAATGCTCTCCACACAAAGGAACATAAGAAACGAGGTGCAAGAAGCTGCGTTAAGCGAAGCATGGTTGGGACATTATTGGAGCATCCTGGGTTTCATTTCCCATCTAAAATAGCTGAAATCTGACTCGAGATGCACGAGTGTCATGCCGCAGTCGACAAAAACGTCGGGGTGGGGTGACGTCTTTATCTAACGCAAAATTCAGTTGTCTCCTGACAACAATGTGCAATGCTACGCCAGAAAGTGTCTCACGAAGAGTCTTGTTATACTCAAACAGTCCCATTGTCTGCTTTTTCGTGAAGCATTTTCCGTGCCGCTCTTTTTTACCAAACGGCTATAGACATACGGTGGCGTAAAATTAAAAAGGAACGACGGTGGCGTTTTTCTTATAACATTGGCCACAGATCTTTCCGATCACGGCGCTTTCCCGACCTGTGCGATTCCACGCATATCGGAACTTTTCGCTTTGGAGGTATGCTCGTCGGATGGTAAGCTCAGATAGTAAGCTTTGGTGATAAGCTCATCGGATATGACACTAGAGCAAATCACTAGAGCAAATCGCCATCCGATTACCTAGGACAGTAGAGCAAATCGCCATCCGATTAGCTAGGACAGTAGAGCAAATCGCCATCCGATTAGCTAGAACACTAGAGCAAATCGTCATCCGGTTAGCTAGGACAGTAGAGCAAATCGCCATCCGATTAGCTAGGACACTAAAGCAAACCGCCATCCGATTAGCTAGGACACTAGAGCAAATCGCCATCCGATTAGCTAGGACACTAAAGCAAACCGCCATCCGATTAGTTTTCGTGAACGTGCACGCAGCACCATGAGCAGTATCGTCAACGCCCACTTACCACGAACCACAGCGCTGTCATGGAACCACGGCGTCTAATACTTCGTTTAGTTTAGTTTAATAGTTTCTGTGCCACTGTGTCACACGGTGCCACAGTGGCACAACATGAACACATTCCATTCTGTATTAGGCGGCACCCAAATCACAGCATGTGCAACATGGTACAGCAGGACCTAGCCAAACCACATCAACCGCTGCCAAGTAACATCGTGACTCTGCCAAACACCACGATCCAAACAATCCGACTTGCAAACCGTGATACGAGCATGGTATGAGATGTCTCGTAACGCAACAAAGCATTTCATTCCAGATGGAGGTCTCTCGGTCGTGGTGTGCGCATGTCATCCCGTCACGCATCGTGTGGGGAATGCAGAGAAAGCTCCCGGAGCCGAACAACGCAGGCTACGTCGGCTTCCAGACCGTGCTCCGGAAACTTTGATCGCCTAGCACCTGACGATGCTCCCGCCGCTGCTGCGCGTCGGGCCAGGGTGCGCGGTGCACAGAGTGCGCACACTCGGCCGAGGTCGCCTCAGTGACCCGCCTGTGGGCTTGCCGCTGCTCCCTCAGCGCTCCGGCGCCTTCCGTCGGTGGGCGTACTCCAGGGACGCGTGTTGGTGTGCTCGGGGAGGGTCATCGGAGCACATCTGGTGTGCTCGGCGAAGGCCGTCGGAGCACATCTGGTGTGCTCGGCGACGGTCATCGGAGCACATCTGGTGTGCTCGGCGAGGGTCATCGGAGCACATCTGGTGTGCTCGGCGAGGGTCATCGGAGCACATCTGGTGTGCTCGGCGAAGGCCGTCGGAGCACATCTGGCGCGCGCCGGAGATAAGTTTTTCCTTCCTCGTTGCTACCATTCGCTGGAGCATTTCTGAGGCGTGCGGGAAGGTCTTCGGAGCTCGTTGCGGTCGCAAGACAAATTTGCTTAATCTACAGTCGAGGACGGGCTCGACTGTAGGCCGCGGTGAATCTGTAAATACATGTTTTAGTCACTTAAAGAACTGACTGACCACCAGCGATCAAGACCGTGGAACTCCGTGGAAAAAACTGTGAACGTGAAAGCTGCCTTCATAGACGGGGTATCAAGAGCAATTTTTTACGTAGCGGTCTTGCCGTGTGGAGTAATGACGCGTAGAAGCTTTCCCTATGACAGTTTTTTCGTATAGCAGTTTTTGTTGTCGCCAGTCTGTCGCGAGCAAGTTTTGAGTTCTAGTTCATTTTGGCATAGAACTTTCGTCGTTTTAAGTGACGCCGACGGAACTTATGTCTGACCAACGCAAAATCAGAAAAGTCTGATCTCATGCAGCAGCACTCGATGTGGGTGCGATGCCGTTGGAAATTTGTATCTGCAGAAATTTTGTCACGTAAGTACGTGATCGCGTAGCGCGAAGGATCTTGCGCCGTAGAAGCTGTCTGTCATGGAAGTGGTATTGAAGCAGCAGTTTCGTACGCAGTTTCCACAGCCGCAGTCGTTTCTTGACATCAGCCGACAGCTCCGGCCGGTGTCGGCCGCCTGTGATCTCAGCGCCGACCAATCGGCGTCGAGAGCCGGCCGGCTTCTCCGGACGCCTCTCTCTGATTGGCTCATTTTGGAGATGGGCGGCTGGCGGCGGCTCGCGGTCGGGGACTGCAGTTTGGAACGGATCGCTGACGGGGAGGGCGTGCTGGAGCTGACGAGGTGAGTGCACTGCTTGGCGTCGTTCACAGAGGGATGCCCGCGTAGTTTGCACGTTAAGGTGATGGGTTATGCGCAACGCGGTTACTTTGATAGGAAATCCACGAGTTGGCGAAAGTGTATTTTATATATATATATATATATATATATATATATATATATGTATATATATATATGTGTGTGTGTGTGTATATAGATATATATATATATATATATATATATATATATATATATATATATATATATATATATATATATATATATATATATTGCATAAATATTAAATGCCACTAGATCGGAAACAGTTATGCAAAGAGTGTGCGGTCGGCAAGGGAGGACATTGTGCGTCGCATTAAACTAAGCCCCCACATATAAGTGGGTGGGGTATGGTTTAATAATAACATCACAGAACCGTCGAGTGGGTTGCCTATAACTCGCCCGGTTTACCATAGTTTATCCAGTCTGCCTGCGAGTCTATGCCATTTTACAGCTGATGTTCCTCTTTCGATTTACACACGTCTGCTAGTAATTCATCACAGCTGTTGTCGATTTAGTGGCACTAGACATCTATGGCATTTTGCATCAATGTTTGTAGTTGTATTTGACCTCTCGGTACATCTACAACGCATCGAGGCTTATGCCGTACCGGCCGCTATGATATGTCATGCGAAAACATGATAATATGTCGGTCGTTGCTGTTTATCTGTCTGTCTGTATATATGTATGTATGTTTGGCTGTATCAAGGTATCGGTGTGTGCTGTTGGCGATACGCAGAATTTCACAATGGGGGGGGGGTCGTTCAAGTGATTTGACTGAAATTGATGTTCAGCGCGCGATTGCTTACGTGCCCAACTGTTGCGTAAAATTAGGGAAAAAACTAATTGCTGCGCGAGATTTAAAAAACCCGATTATCGTGTAAAAGAACGTCACATGTTGCTGGTCTTCTTCTTTTTACAAATCTGCCTGAAATTCGTAATTGTCAACGTTAAATGACGTATACCTTGACACATGCCATGAGGTTGGTAAGTGAGGAGCACGTGTCCCACGGTCTGCTAGGCGGTACGCCCCTGTGAGTCGTCTATTCAAAGCATGCCTTTGTAACTTTGTTTACATGCATACGTTCGACACCTGCCGCGAGCAGACAACATTGGCGCGACGTGACTGATTGGTTAGGACTTTTGGCTATCACGCGGAGGGCCCGGGTTCGAACCCCGGCTGCACCGTGTCCTTCCACGGGTGCTGGTATGGTCTTTGTAGACACTGGCGCCACGCGGTAGGTTACGCGGCAAGGGCAGGGCTTAATATCTGCAAGCTCTTGAAAATCGAAATTCTTGTAAATGCCTCAACCCTTATGCTGTGCCATTTCCGTTTAGTATGGACGCATATCTACCAAGTCAGCTGAGGAAATCATGTGAACGTTAAATGGCCAAACGTCACCCGAAGTTGGCATCAAAATCAAATCCTCCATGAATTTATCCTGGCTCATCTGTTAAGTTTCGCTGTGCCTCCACCCGACAGGAACTGAGTAAAGTTTTGAGCAGGGAAAAATTTGGAAAATACCTGGAGTTTTTCTCTACAAAAACATAGTGAGGAATTAGCTGTACTTTTTGCATCACCTTTGGACTAAATCAGAGCTCCAACGGCCGTCACTGGATCCGCTACTGCTGCTGCAACGTCGGATGGGGAGGGGACTGGGTGGGGGATGTGTAGAAGACATCAAATGAAAAAAGCAAGCGGCGGAAATTCGAAGAACGCATGCCCTTCACTTTGACAAACGTGAAACGCGTGCTCCCTGTGCCCCGAGATTTAAGGCCGCCACTTGTTTGTCCGGCCCACAGCGCGAAGGACCTTTCTTGCTCTGACTAGCGTGGATTCTCTTTTGCTTGATGCCTTTTGGCTGCTGGTAGATTGTGAGTGCCTTGGTATGCCTCAGCGTTCAGGGAGAAGCAACGATCTCTTGACTTTGAATGACAAATCCTTCGGTGTCGCTTTGGTCTGTTGTGCGATTATCCGTTCTGTTTCGTTAATGTACTTCGACGAATGAAATGATATTCATTCGTTTTTGCAACGAATGCAGCGGAATGGTACTTGTTTACGTAGGTGCAAATTCCAAACGATTATTAGATGGTTGAACCAAGAAGAAAAATTGCTTGGTTAATTGCATAGTAGAGGAGCCATTCGCTCCCGACTCATATGAGTCACGTGGCATGCGCGCCTCATATTTTCGCCGCATGTTCACTTTCTATGTTGCGATGTTTCTACATGGTCGGACTTTGATGCTTACGGCCACCGCATTTTGGCCATTTGGCCGTTATTTTCGTCCATCACAAGCCTCGTGATTGTCATTTTTCTTGTGCAAGTTCCACATTCCTCCCGCTGTTGGTTCAGCATATTATTCTTTAAAAAAGCATGATGAGGAATTAACTGTACTTTCTGCATCGTCTTCGGACTCCTCCCGCTATTGTCCCGCTTCGGACTCCTCACTCCTCACTCGGACTCCTCACTCCAGCGCACAACAGTGGGTGTGAATAGTAGGTATGCACTTGGCACTCGAAATGTTAGGTTTACAGATCGGAAGACATGGGCCCGACCGAAAACTGCCCGGGACGATCAACTTTCCATCATGGAGAAATGTTCGACACGATGTGATCAGGAACCCAATGAAAATCATTTTTCGGTATTGGCCGAAGCCCCATTGCTGATCTGACAGGTGCCGAAGTTCTGCCAAAATCGTTGAGCACATTAGTATTTGGAGAGGTTGCCGGGACCGCTACAGCTTTTTTTTCTTTTGCATTCGGGGAGGTCACGTTCTGGTTCATGCAGTAGGTATTTTTCTACCTACTGGGGAGTTCATTTTAGTGCCATAATAGTACCACAATTTTTTTGCTTGCTTGCGCGGTATTCTAGGAGACGATTATCGTATTGCATTACGTTGTAGGTGGTGAACGCCCACTGGTGGAACTTACATGATTAGGATGTCCTAGTTCATTTTACTAAGTCCGTCTGAATTTGCAATACTTTCATTTTATGTTTCACTGAATTTGAAAAACCGCGTTTGGAACAGCTATGCTATATTTGATCCGGGATTTTATGCAGTTATTTTTTAGGCTCAGGCTGTTCACGGCCAACCCGTTCCACAAACTACCGCATAGGCTCATGTTAGAGTTCAGCGAGATCGCTGAACTTTATCCGTCTTCGATCAAAGGTCACGAACGGTGGCCACCGTTAGGGGCCGGCATACCGAGCCCCGCGGGCTCAGCACAGCTGGCCTTGGGCTATCAACTTTCAAGGCATTCGATACAGCCCAACTAGGCTTTGGAATAGGGGGACACGAAAGTGGAGAGGGACATGGCCGCACTTTTTGAGACAATTTAGTATTAATCCTATAACAATGCGCGGGAACGACTAACTTCCCAATCCGTGTTGCTCCGTCCCCCACCCCCGAAATCTCTGAGATGGTTCTTCCCCCTCTGAGATCAACATTTCGCGGTACCGGCGATTCACTAAGCGCAGCGAAGCAAGCGCGCAAGCGCTTGTCACTACTTATTCATCAGCGACAAACGGTCACGTGGTATAATTTTCATTTTTACTACGAATGCCGTTGAACAC